AAAGCACAAATAATCTCTATGCCAGAGCAAAATTACCATAGGAACGTTTACTTTAAAAAATCAGGAAACATGGACTTTAATGTTTCATTTACTTTTCCCCAAGAGATATGACGGGAGATGGAAAACACCCATTTGCTGAAGCAGAAACCTTCCATAAACAATAATGAAAATAGCATCTTGTATTTTAATAATATGTGATCCTTATAACTTTTGAAATAAAAAAATGCAACAAACTTTAAAAAACAATCTCAGTTTGTAACAGTTGAATTGTAGGTGTATGAACAGGTGATCTCTCATGACATACTTAAAGACTTCAGTGGAGAATAATGATACGTAAGCTATTTCAAACCTCTTCTTATTCATGTTATCTGTGCATTTGCCTTGCACACGTATAATATGAATAATTAGATTTTTTTTCCTAAGCAGAAGACAAGTATCGTGATGACTGATTATCTCCAGTGAAAATATTCAAACAGGGTTTACAAAACTCATAGAAGGTAATACTGCAAGTATTTGATTCTAAGATGCACACTTCTTTATACTTTAATATCTCTGATATCAGAATGTGTCTTACAATTTTTCTTGATCTGAGTTGAAGTTGCTTTCTTCTAGGAGAAATTCTTTCTTACTTCTGCCAGACATGTGGGATCCTACTGACATGATACCTCTTTAAATTAAAGTCTCTGTCTGAAATTTGGGTCCATTCTGTTTGTGTGAATTCAGAAAGTAAGTCTTCATAAATACCACCTTGTAGTTCAAGGAGTATTTTTTAATCTCTTTCCAACCAGACATGATTATGATTGAAACAGACAATTTTCCTTGCTATTATCATCTGAATAAGAGTTTATTTCTCCTTTAGACTAGTCTTGAGTCATTTGGTGTCCCAGTTTGATGCTGGGATCATCTAGCAGACTGACCATCTTCAGCAGTTTTTTTTTTCTTAAAAGTACGTAAAAGAATGGTATATTTTATATTATATCATCTGAGATTTGATGAAATTTGATAATTTATTAAAGGTAGGGATTATTTTTAAGGCTGACATCATGCTCGTCTATCAACTCTTGAGGCTCCTCTTGGGGCTAAATGCTCAGATTCATCACTGGAGGAGGCTAAGGCACAGACTATAGTAGCACTGCTCCAAAATACTAACTTTACAGTTCTGCAGATCATAAAGATGGCACTGCCAAAGACATTTTAGGAAATTCTGGAATGATTCTGATGCCAACCAAGATATAATTGAGATGGACAGTTTAGGAGATAATTAAGAAGATTGAATTCTGTGGACATATTACTTTGAGGTGTCAGAAAGGTAATACATGCATGCAAAAATATTAGAAAGTGAAATTCAGTCATACCATTAGACTAGAAGGTAGGACATAAAGTATTTCAAAGATTCAGAAATCTAACATGATGGTATGGTTAAAAAAATTAGTACTGATGGTGTAATCTTTTTTTTTTTTTTCCTTTCTGGACATATAATCATAATATGGCCCATTCTTAGTGAGAAAGAAAATGGGAAGTAGTTTATAGGTAAATTGCCTTGATCAGTCATTTTCTTGAGTACAAGGTCAGGTGAGCTCCAATTTTGTACACAATAATTATTTTAGGGAGGAGAACAGATTGGAAACAACCTGAGATTTCTCTTTAGCATCCTGTTTGAGGTGTGAGTGGGAAGACAAGAGTTGCCAGCACACGTATATTAAGATTTGATACTAAAATCTACCTTAGGTGACCAGCCACCAGCAACAGAGGAGAGTATCCTGGGATCGGGAGGAGGTGTAGCTAGATTTTTCTGTTTCACCTGGCCTAGTTCACCACTTGGGCCACTTTACATATAAGGGAGCAGAGTGCCAAGTGAGTGTTAAATGTTTCATCTAAAGTGAAATTTCTTCCACCTTACTTCTGAGTTATTTTGTATACAGTCTCTGTATTAAAACCTCTGGATGTGTAAACTATAGAGTGTTACAGAATGTGTTTACCATTACAGCTGGAACTGATCATCCTGAAGTATGTAATTTGGCTCCATGTTGTTTACCAGCTTTCTGTGAAAATATCTCATATTTTTACATGTTTCCACATAAGCACATATATTTTATTCGATGAGATAATTGATATTAGCAAGGCAACATACATGATTTAATAAGGCTGGGTTCCAGATTTTTGCTCATTTTACTTTCAAATACTGACGTCAACTATTCCAAAATAATCACTGATTCCTAACGGTAAGGCTCAGCCTGGCCAAATGGGAATGCCTGCCTTAGTTTCCAAATATTTGAAATTTAGTGTAATCTATGGTGTATATGGTTTATGTGTGGTCAGTTATCAAAACAAGCAGACAAGGGAAAAAGAGGCATTCAAAAAAGGAATGTTTTATGGCTGCAGGGCTTGTTGGGCTAGTTTACCCTTTCCTCCCAGATATCACAAACATCTAGAGTTGTTTACCACAACCCTCCCCCAAAAGACCCTGTAACATTAAACAGTAGCACTTTCTTTTCTCTCTCCAGTATGCATTCTGACATAAGAATCAGGAGATAAATTTACTTACACTCACTTTACTTCTTTCTTCTTGTAGCTAAGCCATTCTATATGCCAAATTTTAATAGTCTTTAACCACTCTAATTTTATCAAAACACATCTTTAATATCTGAAACACTCTCCAAACCCCAGTCATTCAACAGTCAAAAATATTTATGTATCCACAGTCTTATTTTTCATAAAAATTCCTTTGGTCCATTTTTCCCTGTATATATTTACACTCATAACTCTAGCATTAATATAATTTTGAAATACAAACTGAATCTATAAAGGGATCCCTAAACAAATGAATGTGCCATTAAGATTATATATGCATATAATCTCTAACAATTTTCAAAACAGCATAATGTCCTACACATGATGGCATGTAATCAATATTCATTAGCTAATTGATAAGTTCATAATGATGCTTCCTAAGAGAGATTTTGTTTTTGAATATAATGGTGTTAATAATAACACTATATTAACCTTACATGTTAATGTATGACATAAGGTATTTTTTACAAAAATCAATAAGTGCAATTAGTTCAAATCTCTACTGAAAAACAAAAGTACCAATACAAGTATCTAGATTATAACTTGAAATTTTTGGATCACTCATTCAACAAATATTTGTTATCTACAATACTCATAATGTTGTATCGATATAAACCTAGAAATATACAATGAGCAAAATAATGTTTCATTTTGACATGGAGATTAATGTCTGATTGATTCAGTTGCATTCTCTTGATTCTTTTACTTCCAGTAGTTATCATTAACTCTCCACATAAAGGCAAATAGATTATTTAGTGTAATGAATTAATATTTCAAAATACTACATTGCTGGAATGGTGCCGATCATAATTCAATATTTTCCCATGAAATAGATTAATGAAAGACTAGCAAATATTTTATGATCTGATTGAAATATGCCATTTGAAAAAAATTAAGGAAAGCGTTCAATAAATGCGCCATACTAATGCAGGGACAGTCATAACATTTACTCCAGTTTTGTGGTATCTTTCTTATGTGTAGTGAAGATAATCACAGATAGGAAAGTCCCTGATGAGAAAATTTGCAAGCAAAGTGGTTCCGAAACACTGGCTTCATTCGTGGTTACCTGTCTCCTGGTATTAGGATTCCCCAAACAATCCTGTGAGCATTCAAAAATCAAATACCAACCCATCCAGCTTATGCCACAGGGGATCTGAATTTTAGAAAGTAAGTTTTGGAATGTATGCTGGGGTGCTATGTATGGTAATGTTTTCTTAAAATTCATAAACAGGAATATTCCACACATAGAATTAGTAAATCAAAGAAAAGTTAACTGATAAATATTAACTACTTTTAGAATAAATGGCATCAAAAAATTAATAGAATAATTATGTTAAGTGACAATGTTTACATTGTACATTTCAGCCATTTTTAACTATGTTCATTAGCAGTATTGTCATTGATAAGTTTCCCCAGCAGAGGGAAGCATAACCTCATTATTATTTCCATAATAATATGGCATAATGTTTGAATTATGGAAAGTGGGGCATCATTACAATTTTACTCCATTTTAAGTGAAGGTTGGTTGATGTTTCTGCATTTACTAAGCAACTTCGACATTAAATATGCTTTGACATCTTTTAGGAAGCAAAAAATGAATTTGGTATAAAATGCCCAGTGTAAGGGAGTACCCAACTAGTAATTCAGTGTAAGGATACCCACATTATCTTCTGCTTGACTAGAATGCCCAATAATGATGTATTAGATTTATATCATGAGCATAGAAAAGAATCATTTGTAAGGCATATTTTAAGACTATAGTTTTTTTCTTTGGTATATTTTAATGAAAATTTCCATTGCCTGCTCATCTCAGGTTGCTAGTATATGCAAAATGAAGTACTTGCACATGGCTTCTTGTTGTTAAATAAGAAAGTTGAGCTTTAAACCTTGTAAGCATCTAAAATTTTGAATTTATCATCATAATAAAACAAAATTCATGATAATAAAACGTAATTCAGTGTTTTGT